AATTCCTCGCCCGTGGACCAAGAACCGAGAATTCTAGAGGCATAACGGCGTTCCGGCGTATACCTACACCCCCACACACCACTGAAAATATACGAACGCTTCCATTTGCAATTTTTAACAAACGAACTACAGTTACCACTCGTATTCACACGCTACAATAGCGCTTCGCTATAAGCGAAAAGAAACTTTCCTTCGAGCTCTTTCCACTTACTTTCACCAAATGTTGTTTGTCACTAGCCTGCAGATCTCTATCTAAATTCATATTTTTATTTATTTTATATTATCTCAACCCTAAACATAATAAATCGTATCTAACTTTAAATAATTCTTATATTTTTGCATTATTCGCTATAAGCGGAAAGAAACTTTCCTTCGAGCTCTTTCCACTTACTTTCACCAAATGTTGTTTGTCACTAGCATGCAGATCTCTATCTAAATTCATATTTTTATTTATTTGATATTGTTATCTCAACCCCTAAACATAATAAATCGTATCTAAATTTAATTTCTTATATTTTTGCATATTAAGTGCATTCTATAGTCTTTTGAGAATTAAAATTTCCCACAAATGCATAAACATCCAGTCTGTTTATTACACCGTGCTATTTCTATTCATGAAGCAGTTTTGGTGTCACTTTTTTAACAAACGAACTACAGTTACTCCCACTCGTATTCGCTATAAGCGAAAAGAAGCTTTCCTTCGAGCTCTTTCCACTTACTTTCACCAAATGTTGTTTGTCACTAGCCCCTGAGCCTCTATGTAAATTCGTATTGTTATCTCAACCCCTGAATATAATAAATCGTATCTAACTTTGAGTATTTCTCATATTTTTGCATATTAGGTGCATTCGATAGTCTTTTGAGAATTAAAATTTCCCACAAATGCATAAACATCCAGTCTGTTTATTACACCGTGCTATTTCTATTCATGAAGCAGTTTTGGTGTCACTTTTTTAACAAACGAACTACAGTTACTCCCACTCGTATTCGCTATAAGCGAAAAGAAGCTTTCCTTTCGAGTTCTTTCCACTTACTTTCACCAAATGTTGTTTGTCACTAGCCTCTGAGACTCTATGTAAATTCATATTGTTATCTCAACCCCTGAATATAATAAATCGTATCTAACTTTAAGTATTTCTCATATTTTTGCATATTAAGTGCATTCATGAAGTGGTTTCACTTCTATTTAGGTACTTTTGTTTATTATAAATTGCAGTTCTACGTGTTGCACTGTCAAAGGAATATCGAATTTACTTTCGTTGGGGAGTAATAGTTTAAGGGGACGAAATGGTGCCCGATACTTTCCGTATTCTGAAGGACAGAAGCTTGTCGCGTAACTAACGTCCCATTCTCGCGGAGTGCAGTTCTAAAGGCTATTGTCGGAAGAATGGATAACATAAATTTTACTACGAATAGTAAGTGGGATTTACGATACGATTTTTAGCTATTTTCGAGATTAACCCTTTCACCGTTATTGGCGCCCCTACACTTTCAACAAGAATCACTTACCCTATGTCAGTCGTGCTCGAGTATAGAGCAAGCCTCTACGAGATTATGTACCTAATTCTACCATAAATTCTGTTACAAGTATATCGAGCTATTCTAATAAAAACAAGAGAAATATATCATTAAAAATGACCACCTTTCACAGTGATGCAAGCTTATAAACGACATGGCCAATATTAAATTACAAATCACGCAATAAACAAATAAGATTTTTACTTTTTTATGAGCCACACATCATGAATAAATTACTTTACGTTGCTTGTGTTCGAATAAAAAAGGCTGCTTTTTTCAAGGCACTTTTTATACCATCCAAATTACTACCAGGAAGCCAATGATTATCTTTAGTGGCCAAAAAAGGACAACGGCGTTGACAAAAGCGTCAAAAGCGGGCTACAGTCTACCAAAAAGATGTGTTTGAAGGATTAGTACAACCCCGAAATACGATGCTCTTTGAAAGGCAAAGGTGGCTTTTCCAATAAAACTTTGTCCCGGATTACAAAGCAAAAATAACTCGAAAGTAGCCACGAGACCAATGTCTCGCAGATTGGGAAAACCTACATTTCGATTTAAATATAAATTGAAACCGGAGCTAAAGGGCAGTGCAACAACTTCTTATAAAAGTGTTGGTAGCCTTAAGAAATCTTATTCCATAGTCACTTGTGTTTTTTATGGTAAACAACAGTCGTTATTAGAAATAATAGTCGTGTACAGTCAGTATTACCAAAGTCGTAGACTGAAATAATCCGTAACGAATCACATCTATTCCGAGGTTATCTATTAGTTACTGATACGTTGAACTCTCGCGATATCAGTTATTTCACAGCAACTGCAATCGTACAAGAAGCTATCATTTTCCGGGCACGTATTTATTAAGATTACAGGAACGTCTCTGAATAAACTTTATCATCCCTTAAACTTTCCGCGTATAGTTCATTTACACACGGTGAATTAACAAATAATTTTAATAGACGCGAGTCTCTTTCGTAAAACTGTGTCATAAAGGTACATTTGATGATAGTTTTAAAACCATTTCTATTACAATTTACATCCTGTTTTGTTGAAGATGTTTAATTAACTTGTGAAAGGCCGTTTTAACCGGAAGACATTACATAACGCGTCGTCAGAGCTGCTATTATTTACTCGACGTTTTTCCAGAAAAAAAAAACCGCTCACTTCGTATATTCCCGAGGGACAACCTTTCAATTAAGCGAAGTGCCTTACTCTCAGATTTTACAAATAACGAGATAATGGAAAATGTAGCCGATGTAGATGGAAAGTGGTCCGTAACAGGCATTAAATTGACATTTTCATTGTTATCGCGACAGTGCTCAACGTAATTCAACTAGCAATGATGCGTGGAGTTCGGCGTCTCCTTTCTCGTTAACCAAAGAGAGCGAAACGTTCAAACATCCGACTTGCACGACCATTATTATTATCGAACGAGTAAAACTCGTCTCTGTTTTTCATTTTGCCAAGGAAACGAATGCCAATCGTGGTGAAACTTTCGACAAAAGAGAATATCAACCTATCTAATATATTTTATTTATATGCAGTTTAATGCACTATGTAATAAGTGCTGTATACAAATAAGTATAGTAGCACTTTAAATGTTATAATTTCAGTGAAGTTCAGTTAAAGAAAGGAATAGTTGAGAAGTATATTCGTCAACTTATTTTCAATTTTAAATACATTTCTTTTTTCTATATATATATACAGGGTGTTCAATAAAATAAAATACAATAAAATTCAGAAATTTCAAATCGTTCTGGAAAAATTATTTTCGGTTGCGGGGGTCAATTACAATCATTTTTGGTGAATAGACATAGCTTCGAAATTCTATCCACTTTCGAGAAAAAAAATCGAGAAGATGTACAATTTTTCGACAAAATTAAAAAATTTCGAATCGTTCTAAAATAATTATTTTTGGTTGCAGGGGTCAATTACAATCATTTTTTGTCATTACACATACCCCTGAATTCCTATGCACTTTCGAGAAAAAAATTCGAGTAGATGAAATTTTTCGGGGAAATTAAAACATTTCGAATCGTTCTAGAAAAATTATTTTCGGTTACAGGGGTTAATTACAATAATTTTTGGTGAATAGACATACCCCTGAAATTCTCCGCACATTCGAGAAAAAAATTCGAGAAGGTGTACAATTTTTCGACAAAATTTAAATATTTCGAATCGTTCTGAAAAAATTATTTTTACTTGGAGGGATCAATTACAATCATTTCGGGTGAATACACATACCCCCGAAATCCTACCCATTTTCTAGAAAAAAATTCGAGAATGTGTGAAATTTTTCGGCGGGGAAAAAAAAATTTCGAATCGTTCTGGAAAAATTATTTTCGGTTGCGGAGGTCAATTGTAATCATTTTTTGTGAATAGACATACCCCCGAAATCCTGCGCATTTTCGAGAAAAAAATTAATTACTGGCAGAATTTTAAGCGTTAATAACTTTTTAACGAAGCCTCCATCAACAAATTAGTATTCTTGATTTTCGTCTTATTTTGGCCTCTACTATCGCTCATTAAAAGTTTTATTATAGGTAGCCGAACACTCTGTATATATTTCTATACATTTTTTTTTCTATATATATATATGTCATATTTTCTTCAGTTTTTGTTCATCGAATAGAATTTCGTGAAAAAACCTAATAAAATGAACCACACCCTCATGACTTTAGCGTCTAAAAATATTCTAAGCTGAACTTACTCTGACTAGCCTACTCTAAGGCGATCCTTTGTAGGTTATGTCTAAGACCACCTGCACGACCCTGACCAACTTAGCGACACTAGAACATTTTCTTTTCTATCGCCTACAGTTTTATCCTATGGTAATACTACAACGTATGCAAGAGATAGGGAATTGTCTTTGTTATTTTTTTTAATAACGAGGTAGATCGATTGGGCAGTTTAGCGATCCAGGAAACGAATAATCCAAGATCGAATTTTGATTCAACGATCGAATCAGCCGATTCTTCTCCCTTTACAGATACAACAAATTATCGACGACAGCATCGTATATAGTGTTTGCTTAAAAAAATTAGAATTTTGAAAGAGACGAAGCAGAAAATGTGGCGGGTCGTATGATCGACGAAAAATTTAAGAATGCAGTAAATTTTCTGGACCTAATAATTACCAGAATATTAATAAAAAAAACAGTTCTTCTCTACATCCTATAATTTTTATTATATTTTTAAATTTCATAGTGTTTTTCAAATCCAAGATGTTAATACCAAAAATTTCCTCAAAATATAAACCAACGCCGTCAGAAAATATACTGCACCGTTAGATTATTAAATTCGAAACGTTTCCTTCATTTGCTGCCCCGTTTTGTCTTGCTTTACCGTCCCCGGTGGTTTCGTACACAAAGATTCCATTGCTCCGTTGCGTTCATCGCGCTCCACAATATTGCGAGATCCGTTTAAAACAACATGCATGTCGAGCATGCATGTTTAGCCGTAGATAGAAAACAGTATTGGACTTACGTGTTTTCCTTCTGATCACCGTTGCTAGACTGCGAGGATGGCGACGGTTGCTGGTTCTCCTGTTTCGAATACGGATGATGACGATGCACAACATTGTTATTGTTGTTGTGAATGTGCACCTTGTTTGCGTTGCTGTCAGTCGGGGAGCCTGGCGAGATTTTACTCGCCAGAGTGTTCAACGATTGAAGCATTTTCATAGGAATCCTCCTGGCGACCGGTTCGCGGTGCCGCCTTCCCTCAGGCTCGTTTATCCTTGAGGAAGACAGGATTATTCTTCGTTTGCGGTTTGAAGGTTTCGACCCTCAAACTCGTCCGTACGCGTGCGAATAAAATGCAACCCGGGGGATCGAAATAATACAGAATACACTTTCCCTTGCAAACGCTTCTACACTTATTTATTTATCTTTCGCGCGGGTTTTTGGGCTAGAAAATCACTGAACTCGGTCCGAATATTTCCTCGACACGCGACAAGCAAACACTATTTACGATGGCACACGCAATACGCATACATACGAACACTTGTTTTGTTTTCTAACGAGCGTTCACTGCGAAAATCGACTCCGGAGGATATTTCAAAATGGCGACAAACGTTCTCAAGGTTGTCGAATCCCAGTTACCGACGACGCAGTTTCTTGATTTGCTACAAGAAAAAGAAACAAAAGAAACGTAAGAACGTTACTTGGAAATCTTCTACAAGAAATTAGACTAGTGATCACACGTGATTTATCGATCGTATTATTCTCCTCGACTGTTCGACAAAGACATTAGTACGCTTCTAGGTAATTAAACTCCTTGGTTAGCAGAACTGAACAAATACTCGATCGAACGTTTCTACGTTTCCTTGATCTTTGTTCAATTTTGCTTCGAAGACCACAATGAAAGGTAATTATCCTTAAACAATATTACAACACAAAATAAAATAAAAATACATGTATGTAAAATTTAAGTCATTTATATTTAATAAAAATTCAAACGATTCGTGTAAGTTGTGCTCGTAAAGAAAATGGCGTACTGTCAGGGGAGTGGATAAGTTCTTTGTTTAAAAAATAACTATGACATGACATAAAGTCCTATGCTAGATGTTAATTTGTAAAGCAATTTTGAAAGGACAAACAAAAAAAGTAATATCAATTTTGAGAAGTACATTCGCCCTTTTTTTTATTTTCGACAAAATGACGAGGGATCGATCACGCGCACTAATATGTCAAAAAATTTTATCGTGAAAAGTGGTGCTACACAAGGTGACTCGGTAGTCATGGTACGATCGAAAAAATAGCAATTTTTGGAACGAGAACGAATCGAAAATAAAAAATCAAATTGTTCTGTATGGTCTTCCGTTATCGAGACAAACATTAATTGTAATTAATTGTGATTAATTGTAAGTGTTAGGCTTATACACAGTGTTCAATTTAAATCAGTCAAATATCTCGGAAAGTGTTGATACTAAAAAATGAAATAGTTTCAAGGGGCACACAATTCGATATAAGTTCTTCAACTATGTTTTTCTACGTGGTGTTACATATTTTCTAACAATTTAGAAGATATTTTAATTTTAATATTCTTGATAATAACAGTATATATTAAATACTAATTCCCCTATATTGAAATTAAAATATCGTCTAATCTAACGACCTTTTAATATATGTTTCGCGTTTAGAAAAAACAAAGTTGACCTGTACATGTCTCCAGAAATTATTTAACTTCTGTCTGAACATTACTATCGTAAATTTGGTTCTCGAATAATGAATAAATGCGTTAAATTCGTAAACTAGCTTTTCCAAGAACTGGTTAATAGATTCTAACTTAGAAACTGACAAGTTAGTTTAGGAATCGATCGAAAATTTCTATTAGTTATTCGTGAATAAAATTTGCCTAATACTGGCCATAAAGAAGGTTCCGCGGACAGTTTTGGAACGAAATGGGCGTAAGTAGCAGATAGGAAAGGTCAAACCCAGGGAAGACTGAATACTCTCGGAACAAGCGAGATCGGAGAAACGTGGATAACTGAAACGCGTACATGGAGACACACCTCTTGCGCGAAACGGCTTTCCAACGAGTCAATTAAAAGTTTAAGTTTAATTAGAAACTCGTCTCGTATACGCCAACCAGGCGAGTCACTGCTTGATCTTCCTTAATGTTACTCTTCTCGTTCGCCCTTCCTACTACCTTCGTGCATCGTATCTTTCATTCTCTCGCACGGGGGAAGCTTCCTCTTACTTCCGGTTCAGTCTGTACGCGCAGTTTCACCGGCTAGTTCCCTTTGTCCCCTCAGAAGCTCGAAGCGATCAAGCCTCGGTTATTTACCAGACGTGAAAGCACCAGAAAATGGGTCGAGGATAAGGAACGATGACATTTCGTAGCTAGAGAATTTCAACGTTTTTTCGGGTGCTCGAGTGACCATTTACTCGGAACAGCATCGAACGCGAAAGATCCTGTGGGAAGAGAGTGGCCCTGGCTATTTACAAGGACCGCACGAAGAAATTCCAACGAAATGCTTAAACGTAACGAGCAAAAGGGATGGCGAAAAGCACCACGAAACGCGGAAATCTTTTTCTGTAAAGCGTGAACGAGTCTATACCAAATAGATAATTGCCCAAATAGAGTTGTAGGGTCTATTAATTTGAGGTTGTGTTGAGGGTGATATTGAAAAGATACTGTCTTTGTTGCCCTCACGTGAAGGGTTTTTGAGGAAGTCGCAATTTTTCATGGATTACATGTAATTTCTAAAGGACTAGGTCTGGTTAGATACCAGTTTCAGACTTCTTTGAAAACGGTCCCTGATTGGGCCATCCTCGACTGCAATTGATGCAACGCAAACCCCTCACGTGTTGACCACTGAGATTAGGATTGTAAGAAGAAGAATGGGTAATAAATTAAGGAATTATGCAACGTCCTGCAGACCTTGATTTGCAGGATGAAATAGATCGAGCTGTGGGCGTTGCACAATCCAAATTTGGATTAGGCAAGATGAGACCCCGATCCAAACATCGACGCCTCCAAGGAGACACCAAGAGGGAGATTCGAAGGTTTCTTTTTTAGCTACAGAACAGAATTGCTTGGATTCTCGATTTGTTTGGATCCTCAACGAACATTAAACGAACTTGGAACAACTGAACTTGCTAAACTTGAACATCGTAAAGGAGATCACCTCACAAGCGATTAAAATAGCAAATATTGTTATCGTTTTGTTTTAAATAAATTGTGTTTGTATTATATTATTACGTTAATATAAAATTCTCCTCCACTAAATTCTTCCATTAAATGAGAGTTTATGCTGGATAATAAAGGGTTGTTCGTTTTCGAATCTCAACTACTGCTTGATAGCACTTGGATCAACATTTGAAAGTTTTCAGAGTTACAGCTAACAGCTATTGTAATTTTAAAGAATCGAAAGAGTGAGATTAATATTTATAAGTGTAATGTATATGACAAAAATAAATAATTCTGCAGATTTGGAGGAGGAAGTTTGTTATCAAAGATGCAGCTCGCGTCTAGAGGTCTGTTACGACAAGTGCTGATAAAATCAAGGCCATGATTGATAACGAGCGTCATTTAACGATTCGCAAGATTACCAATGCAATGAAGGTTATTATCGATTTACGCGTCGGGCAAAAAATATTTAGTGGAGCGAATTTCTGCGTCCAGTTCGCCATCGAAAACGCAATGAAAACGAGTACCCAGGTCCCTGTGAAACACGGTACTTCTGCAACACGATTTCGCTCTAACACGGTTACAGAATCGCGGAAATTTCCACTATAACGCGACACTCTTACAACACGGATTCGCTTTAACGCGATTAAATAATTTCGGAACTCTCTCTCGGTAGAACAGAAAACGCGTTGATTGTCTTTTGTCGCGGCATAAAGTCCACGTATTGTTTGCATCTGCTACACTTTTTGCAACCTATTTCAATTTTTCACACATAATTACATTCATTAATCGACGGAACGGATATCCTGCTCGTACAGAGGATGTTCCTTGCACGATTCGTCAAAGAAAATGGTTAGATAAGGTAAAGTAGGACGAACTGCACGATCTGTGTGCTTTTCAGGTTTCGATAGACGATTCCTTTTGTTTGAGAATATTTTAAATGACTCATCTACCGACGAACGATTATCAATTTAAAAGATTTCAATACATACATGGTCTATAATGTGCTATATTGATCATTTGAAAGATTAGAAATTACAAAAGTTCTAATTGTAATAAATAGAATATATTCTGGGGTTGTTCGAGACCTTTCAAATGAAATTTTAAATTAATTATTCTATTTGCACAATATTTGCTTCTGATTTGAAAATAAATCGTGCAGGAAATTTATAGAACATTTCTCTGTTCTTTCTACCTCTAGATTAAGTACCCACAGATTGATGGAAATGTTCGTCCTTTTCATATTAGCTAATTTCAAAGTAGCAAAGCCCCTTAACGCGTTGACTGTCAGAACTTTGATTTTCCTTACTTTTGTAACCTCGCTAAAATTCACGGATCCTATTCAAATTTATTCAACATTTCGACTCGAGATTTAATTGCTCCAGTTCTACAGTGAGGAGTCAAAGCGTTAGGAGTGTTTGTTATCATCTTTGAGGCTCCTGTCGCGCAAGTGGACAAAATTTAGGACTAAAAAAACGCTGGACAGGGCTCGAACGTTTTCCCAAGGAAGCTTGCAGCGAAAATATGCGTAACGCGACGGATAGATGTCGAAGACTTGGAGGGCCGAGTTTCGCGAGGACGCGTAAAGTCAAACTCCGTGGGGGGAGGGTCTGGAGCGCGAAGATAGAGGTACAATTACCGGAACTGCCGCCGCTGTCAAGTGTCAAAGGGGTCACGAATAATTTAGCGCGCGAGCCGCCTCCAGGAGCAAGAAGGCGAAAGAAAGCGACGGGCGGAGAACGGAAGGGAAACAGCGACGCCCGCGGGCTGGTAAAAGCGCTCAGGAAAGAGAGGCTCGCTCTCTCAGATTACCCTCTAACGCTTTTGTCCTTCGCGCCGCTTGCTTTCTTCCCTTCCTTCGTCCTTCCCTCCGTGCAACCGGGGTCGCTGGAGGCTCCCAAGGTTTCGCCGCGGCGTTTCACGAGCTCCTTTCCAGCTACTCTCTATCCTCCTCGACTTCTCTTTACCGCTGATCACTTCGCGCGTTAAAACGTCAAATTAAAATCTCGAGACGCTTTGAGAACAAGACGATTAGAGGGTACGGGCGAGGGTAGAGGGACACGAACAGTTCCCCCCCGCGACACCGATCGTTCGTTATCCTT